TTTCGAACTACACAGTTTATACGAAACCACGTCAGCGGGCGGATACAAACACGTCATCACCGAAACTCTTCAATTTAGAGCAACCTTAATGACATCACTACAGACGCCAACGCTTCAAATATTTCAATCTGCAGCCGAAAGCAGCTCTAAACATTCTTAGCCACCCTATGTTGATGTTCATGTAGTCAATTCGGTCAGCAAGTTAAGCCGAGCAAGTTAAAAAACAATATACCGCATTGGCGACATCCGGGTAAGCTTGAACGTGCAAGCACATACATTAAGCGTCTGTGACTAAGCGCATAATTTCACATATCAGCGATCTGATACAGCGATACGCAGGCATCGCGACGGATAGCTAGCACAGCTGCACTAGGTAGAGTGCCAACTTCCCGACAACCGGGCGGCGGGTTAGCCGCTTTACGTCCACACATGGTGGAGCGGGGCGGCGTCTGTTCTGTAATTAAACATGAGCAGTGCGACATGTGCGTGTGCGTGCAGCCACAGCGGCCGACGCAGCTGCACACGGGACCAATGGCGTGTCGGCAGGAGCGCGACAAGGCGGATAATTTGCATCAGAAATCAGCCGGATCGGGAGCAGGTGCAACGCCGCGGGATTGGTCATAAATAAAGGAGCGAGCATTACTCGGTAGCCCTCCTCAGTCATCAGTAGTCAGGTGAACGGCCCACGCCCCCGGCGCTCCTATACAGATAGATTACACCTATACAGCCTAGGCCTATGTACCCAACACTATCATAGCATAAAAAATATATTGATAGTTGCTATACGTTGCTGCCGTGGGGACATGCCAGTTGCCTAACTTTAACTCACCCAAAACAACGCTCGTCTTAGTAAGAAGTGGAAATTTGTAATTTTTTAACATTTTGAAATTGATTTTAGCTTCGTGTTCGACATAAGGTGGTAGTGTGAAATTTGAGGTCAACCAAACTAAAAGCGTGAAGCTATTTAATGGAAAATTATTCTTAAAAGAACAATTTCGAATTCATTCATTCAAACGCATTGAATGGAACGTACCACTGAAGATCCCCAAAAAAAAGAATCACTGCCATCGAGACAATGGAATCATCGCTCAATGTCGTTGAATCCTCGGAAATATTCGGGTCTTCGCCGCACCTGATCACAATCCATCCCACACCGCAGCTTGGAGACAAATCTGAACGATATCCTGCACACAGACAGATATTATGACTACAGAAACACCTGACTGCTTAAATCGGATTGAGATCTCCCTGGACCCGGCACAGTCCGCTCACGAAGCCGTCTGGATCTCGGCGCTATCAGACAATCATCGCCATGCAACGCGCCACGGCTGGCTGAAGTTCGCCGACTCCCGGCTAGCGGGCGGAGTGCGCCGGGTAGCAACAGCCGGTGTCACGGTAAGTCTCCTTCACGGGGCATTGAGTTGCGCCGGCGGCGCCCGAGCGTGACGGGCAGACTGGGTAAGGTGATAGGGGAATGGGAAGGGGGTGACAGAGGCAGTGTGAACAGTGTGGATAGCGAGGACGGAGTGACGGACAGGCAGGTGATAAAGAGTGGCGGACAGAGGGTGACAAAACGGACGGGTTGCCAACAGCATCTACCGCGCTCGAATCTCCATGAGCACCCTCCCCTTATTCCACCATCCGGACTAGCCTCAGGTGCTGATCTAAAAACAGCACCATGGCCCGACAAGCGGCACTTTCGAGCCAACGCCTGGCTCCGCGGCTGACATAGCTGGGGCGACAGGCCTACAGAGGCGCGGGTCAGCCCCATGACGAGCTGCGCCACCCCACCAGACAGGCGGCGTGCCCGCCTCGTGGCAGGTCTGCCCACCTGACGCCAGAATCACGCCATGACTGGAGAGCTCCACAAGTGTAGCGACCACGCACCACGCCGCCAACACGTGAATGGTTCATAAGCTCGAGCACGGTCGGCGGCCTGGCGCACAGAGCACGCCAACACCTCACACAGCTGTTTAATGCGTGAGGGATTGTGACCGGGTTTGGTGAAGATTAGTATTGAATCATGTCCAGAAAGGAAAAATCCTGTAATCAAGAAATGTAGCATGGTCTTTGTCTATGCGGTCATTGAGATTCTGCTACGAATTTAATCACAGCTTACTTCCGTATTTGAGGTCTCGAGATAACACCATGCTGGGTGTCAAAGCACACGCCCGTGATATGTGCCTGTATGAACTTCCTAAAACAATGGCTAATTGAGCCTGGCTGCCCCTGGACCTTTCCAGTGTTTGGCCTTGGACGACCAGATCCTGAAACCCCAGTCACGGCGGTAGTCACGCCAACACCGCGTGTCCGGCCATCACGAAATGACCGGTCGTGATTCTCCACACGGCAACTTGGGGATGTCACGGCGACCCAGCTGACCTCTACCACCAGCTGGCTACCGGACCGCTACAAATTAGGGCGGTTCACACTGACTCGTCCGTCTCACGACACCGAGCAGCCAGCGGTGACGTCATCCCCTGCAGAGGCGCCCGGGGCGGCGGCCGCCCGGCACCTGTCGACCGCCCCGGGCGGGGGCGGGGGTGGGGGCGGACGGCAGGCGCCCCGCCAGACGGCGCGGCGCCGCCGCCGTTGCCGCTGCCAGCGGCTAGCCGGGGCTCCGGAACACCCGACCGCCCTGGGCTAGCGACGGTATGGTGCTAACAAATAGAAAATCATGACAAGTACCCAATTGAAGAAAGGTTAATAGTTAGCTGACAAACACAGAAATGTAATTATTTCGTACACAAATTTACGCACGAAACTCAACGAAGAAAAGGATGTTATTTAGTTAACAGGAATTTAGGCCATCAATTGCGAAACAAATACACACTAACAGGTAACTTCATCAACAGCAAACCAAATTTAGAAGCCTTCAAGTTAATCTCCGCACACAAAATTCTCCGACTTGACCATGATCAATGTTCATGCTCACTTCACATGCGTTTTGAACAAAAGAACAATCATTTAATAACTCCGCGCCATCCCGGAACAAGACATCGGCGCACCGTCCGCCCTAACGCATATTCTTGGCGCTAGATGTCTCTAGCGGTGCGCGCCTGAAGTTATGCTGTGCCGCAGTACTCGCGCGGTCAGCGAAGTGGACCGCGGTACTTCGGGGCAGCAACAGACCGGCACGGCACGGCCGCCCAATGCTGATCGATGGAGATGGAATCCGAAACGACGGCGTCATGTTCCACGTGGAAACAAAAACAGCCGCCGGCCGACCGCTATCGGTCCACCAGGCCGGCCGAGCACGCCCGGTTTCGTGCGACTTTTTTACGGCGACTGACGTCAATAAGTCAAACGGTGGCTGACATGAGCAAATTGTTAGCTGATATTCTTTGCTTGGCAACATGGGTCTCTCTCTCTCTCTCTCTCTCTCTCTCTCTCTCTCTCTCTCTCTCTCTCTCTCTCTCTCTCCCTCTCTTTCCTTTTCTCCCCTCTCTTCCTTTGATAATCTAATACAGGTAGCAAGGCAAATAAGTAAATTACCACTGTAAGCACTACAAACGACCCCCAAGAGACATCAGTGAGCACTGAGCACGAAGCGTCCACCCCGCCCAGCCCTCCCGCCGCTCCCTTTCAGTGGTGCTCTGTGTGTCCGTTGCCAGGCGGGCCCGGTGCCATTTCGCGCTCTCCTCCCCCCCCCCCCCACGGGGCGGTCACGCAGGCGCGCAGTCTGCCAAGTCGCAGTCGCAGGCCTGACTGTTTGCCGGTCGTTGGGCGGCTGAGCCGGGGCGGAGCCAGGTTCTCGTGTTGAGAAAAGCATCAGTGTGCGCGGCGACACTCGTAAGGGGGCTGCCAAGACGAAAGTTTGTTCTTCAAATATGAAACTTTTAGTTGTCTTAAAAATAGTTTGACAATACGAGACCGTATGGACTCGTACATGACTCGTGCATGACCGTATGGAAAATGATCAGCAACAAAAATACAAAATATAATGGAAAATACGTCAGCTGCGAGCCGATAGGATAGCAAAAACTATGTTTGGGGCGCATGAAAAATGCAATGAAAACGCGAGAGACAGTTATCTACAGGCGATGACGTAAGCGTACCTCAACATAAAATAAAAGATATAAAACAGAAATATTTAAGCACTAGCAAAAACGTGTCGTTTGGCTGGCAACCTAGCAGTCATATCCAGGAGCATTGATTTATACCAATAGTTGAATTATCCTTACCATTACAAGGATTACCACAGCGCTTGCGACAATCAGATTGACTACATTCCTCGTAAAGCAGCATAGTTTCAAGAAGCACTCCACAATAACCAAACAAAACTTCCTCTTCCTAACATGTCTTGGGAACAATCTATCCACCGAAAAACACCAGTGCGCGACCTGGCCAGCCGATAAAATATCCGCCCCGACAAACCACTGAGCAGCCAGCATTGCACTGTGCAACCCACTGTGCCCACTGCAACATCAAGTCAGTGACCTGGAAACCGTCTTCCTGTCATTGTGCATGTCGTGATCATTTGGCGATTTTTTTTCACTGGGCTCTATCCTGCCGGCCTTGGTGGTTAGGTTACCGGGCGAGGCGCCTGCACCTCCGCGACCCAACAACAACCCAAGGTCGGAGAGAGCGAGCCGGGGCGGCTGCAGCCTACACCCTCGCTGTAGGGCGGCTTCACCCTCACTGTAGGGCGGCTACACCCTCACTGTAGGGCTGGGGCGGCTACACGCTCACTGCGGAGCCGCGGCGCCTACGGTAGGGCTGCGGCGGCTACAGCCTCAACACAGGACTAAAGTGAGCCAGCCCTCGCTTTGACACCCGCCGGCGAGACAGGCGACACACGTGCGGAGAAGAGCCGCTAACAACCGACCCGTGACATCAGCTGGTTTGTCTTCGAGATCAGACGTAAAGCCGCGTGAAATGATCTACGCTTAATTTCTACGTAAAACGATCTCCTGATGTGTGGGTCTGAGCTCACGGCTATATTAGGAAGCGGTGCGATTATTCTACCAAAACCAGGAGAGATCAGAGCGGGTACTCACAGTGGACGCAGAAGACTGGTGTGGTGACGTAGACTGCCTGCAGAAGATGAGTGTAGATGGGACGACCGGCCGTTCCTGCAAAAGATCAACAAAGGTCGGGTCAGGTCAGGTCACCGAACATGGCTTACACAACACACATCGCAACAGGAGGCCAGTGCTGGCCCAGTAACAGTGTGCTTAGCCCGAGCCCTCCGCAATCACTGACATGAATGCACCTGGTAACCATGGCTCCCACAAACGTTCAGGTACGTCGTTTCAGCCCAGCACCCGCCCACTTATCTAATCACTCACATACCGCGACCGCTCACTGTTCACAATGGCAGGCTCCAGGCGGGTCCAGGCCGCCCACACCTGGACTCGACCGTGAGCTGCCCGGCAGCACGGCTGCAGTGGAGAGCGCTGCCCGGCAACAGCCCCCTCCCCGCACCCTCTCGGCCCGGCCCCCACCCCCGCACGGCCCAGCCTTGACATAGTTGCGCCGTGATGGCGGCGAACAGGCAGATATTCGAGGGCCCCGCGGCACATCAAACTGTCGTGATTGCAAGACTGACAACTACGTACGGAGCGCAGTGCTCGTCATCTATTCCAGGCCTGCCAGCAGTGCAATGCTGCTATTGAACGGGGTACGGTGACCGGAGCGGCATGACCGAAATAGCGGGCGTGATTTTTCGCCGAGGACAGAGCAATGTATCTAGAGCAGCACAAGGTCCTCAATTAACGGTACTCATATACCTTAATTAATTCAGTTCAAGCACGAAGTGCATGATGTTGAAACTTGACCGTTGTTTCCATTCCATTATATCAAATAATGCAATATTTCATAAACTTCCCGAGCTGCGCCTCAGATTTCCTTCCAGCCCATGGCGACGTCTGCCGGAAGCCGTTTCCTAGCCGCTGAACCGGCCTGACGACGCACTGTACCCGGATAGCGACTGCGCCCGTTCACTGTTCAGATAATCACGGGCATCTCCGCAGTCTTCCTGCTGACTGCCAGGTAATATCGCGTCTTGCAACTGACACCGACAGCACTTTAACTGGCGCCAAGTCCCGTGCGGGCATCCGCCTGCTCAAATTGTGTTGGATGAGGTATGGCGAGTTAATATGAATGATTTACAGCTTCCGAATAGAAGGAAAGAAGTTGTTTTTGTTGTCACAGATTACCGGGAGCAGCAAAAAGAATACAAACAGCTCAGGGTTTAGGACAAATCAGAGCAGTTATATCGCGTTATTTGTCGCAGTGCCCCTAATAGGTAAATAAATGAAAGAGTAGCACCACACCAAAAAGTTTGACTTGTTTAAGAACCAGTCATAACTTGTTTGTGGATTCCCTCGAATCCCACGGTTTGCTTGATAACAAGTCACTTCACCTTCTAACTAGAAAGCGCCTGATATAGCGTGTGTATCAACCAACAATGAATTTAGGTCACGCCCAGACTTAATTACACGCCTACCTGGTCTAATATCCTTTCCCATTGCCTCTCTAAACCGAGCCACAACACTGAGCCAATGAGTGGGCGAGAATACGGTGACGTCACAGAGTATGACGTCACCGCAGTGTCGGGTTCGTTGGCCGTCTGTTCCTGTGTCTGGTAGACATTAGAGTTGCAAAGTTTTCCCCAAAGGCTGCTACCGGCACCGCCCCGCCCCACAAAAATTTTCTGGGATACCGGCATGCTACCACGCCCCAAGCAAAAAAACCGCCAAATTACCGGCATACTAAAAAACCTGCATTCTTGATTCTAGCTTACCCCTACAAGAGATGCCACATTTTGGCATGCAGTACCTGTCCCACCCAGCAGCCATCCATTGTCCAACCACAAATACCAGCAGGCTGATTTTGGCTGAGTTGGCCCCACAAATACCCAAAATTTTGAAACTCAATTTCAGTCTATAACTGTTAAAATATCACCTGTAATCAAAGCGGTATTGCCTACAAAAAAAAACTAACACATTCAGCAAAAAGGCGAGGACAAAAAGAACTTGAATTTCTGAAATGTGTTTCTAAAGACTGGACAGTGAGCACTGAGCAGTAATCACATTTACATTTCACAGGTGTTCTACTTTTCCACATTCTCCTAAAATGTTGCAGGCACCAGCCAAATGTTTAAAATCTAGATGGTCAAAACATAAACAAGTACAGATTCGGCCATCTTCCTAACTGAGGAAGCGAGATCAACATCTGCTGTTTCCTATCCAGAGATCAACATCTGCTGTTTCCTATCCACCATGGCTTGCTGGTTCGTGAATAAGATACGAATCATGTAAAAAAATGAGCTAATAACTCACTGGTCCTGAGAACAGTCACCAAATAATATGTATAAAAACGATATCTTCCATCCTCTCCAACCTCAAACGGGAACAAACAAAAGGTTATGAAGGATTTCGAAACAAATGCGCCATAACAGAGGCTTTTAACCAGCTGAATAAAACGCTGCAAAAAAAAAAGTTTTACGACTGCAAGCCACTGCCTCGTGAATGATTATATTAATAAAAATTATCCAACACAATATTAAATTGTAATGAAATCAACAATGTGAGTGTAATTCACTACAAGAAAATTCATTTCTCTTCAGTAATTCAACCAAAAAAGGGTATATGAATAAATACCTATTACGTCATCAGATTACATCCATTCATTAGGGGAGAGAGCATCTCAATCTTAAAAGTAAATCCTTGGTTGTATTATTTTGCGTCACTTTGTGTCAATTTTGCCTTCATGATGTGTTTTCTTGTAAAGATAAGACAAAATGTCAGTTCAAATCCATTTTCATTTAATTATGGGACCAAAGTCAGGCTCAGGGCTACCTAACACCTGCCTTTTCAGCTGAACTGTCGGTGCAAATTCTTTGTGGAGTTTCTCAGACCACATCTCATGATCTCAAGACTCAAGGCCAGTTTCCAAACAATGTGTTTTTTTGGTGTTTTGATTCTGCCTTTTCCCCTAGGGAATGTTGTCATGAACATTTATTTATTTTATTGTGTTATACATATTACTTACCATTAGACTTACTAATTGATCGTGCTTTTGCAACATGAATGAGTACCATTCCAATTCTTCCTTTTGTAGACCACAGTAGATTCTTGACAATTCTAATTATAACCAAGCCTGTGAAATGCTGAGGTCCATGTGTTACCCCTACCCTTAGCAATGGAACTTCTACCACAAAATGTATCTTGCAGTGGTTAATATTGCTGTTTTATTACAATTTGAGAACCTCTTAGTGTCCAAAGTTTGAATCTTTTGCTGATATTTTTTTTTTGCACAAAATCAAAAATACCGGCATGCTACCGGCAAGACATGCCAGATACCACGAAAAAACCTGCGGTAGTGAAAAATTACCGGCATGCCGGTAGTGCGGTAGGGAAATTTTGCAACTCTAGTAGACATCGTCTGGGTCACCAGACATGTTGCGTGTCTCGGACAGGGCGACTGTTAACGCTACCGGTCAGCACGGAAGCCGAAGCTCGTTTGTAACTTGGGCTCACGTGCCACACAGGATACGAGAGTGGTTTGCTGTCCGGTGTAATGGCCACTTGAAGCCACAGCCCATGTAAGTGAGGTGGCTTGGTACTTTAGTTGTGGTGGTATGAAAGCGAGCTGCTTCGTGTAATTAATGGCTTCGAATGACTTCACTTAGCTGTCTTATGCTCATTGTTGATTGTGAAATGTGCATGGAAATAAAAAAGTGATGATATGCATCATGGTAGGTTAGTGGCACGTTCATCTACCAACACCCCAGCCCCTAGCTGCGACTCCAGCACAGACCCACGGCCCCCCGCGGAGCCCCAGCCTGTGCAGCGGTAGCCCACCATATTTGAGCAATGACCCTCGTAACACTTCCTCCCGTGTGCACTGTGCAGGTGTGCACCGGGTCATTGGCAGGTCAGCCGGCCAAACGGTCAGCCATGTCACAAGAACGAGAAACAGACGAGATGTCATCAAACAGAGCTGACATCGGAACGAGCTTTGATGAAAGGCCGGCCTCTACCGACGACATAAATAATGAAAGAATGGCTTATTATTTAGTCAATCTTAATATAAAATAAATTATCTGTTGGGGAAGGTGCCAAAAAGTAAAAATGAAAGTAAAGGTTTGGCACAAAGGCAGAAACAAACGAAAACATAATTCATCGTCAGTCGTTGGGCCAACTAGCCGGATATTGGGGTATATTTATAACCGGGTGACCTCAGCCCAACGGGCATCATAGCCTACCGTTTGCTGGGAACATGACTACCATGGACACGCAACCAAACATCCTTTCGGGCAGCAACAAGACCGAAATATTTGCATAAATTATTTGAATAACAGACAAAGTTAGATCGGAGGCCTAAATGTCAACACTATCTAAGCTCAGTTCGATCGTTTCCAATACGGGGCAGGGGTCTCACATGACATCACTCATCACACTAACTCTGCTCGTCCGCCGTTCACCCAGTTTATGTCCGACCGAATCGGAAGGATATCACCCACCCCCAAACCCTCTCCCCGCTCCCCGCCATGAGCGTGGGTTGGTGACAGCCGCCGCTAGCGGCCCCGGTGACCCGAAACAACCCGTTTCCGGCCGGTGATGGCACACCGTGGTGATTAATTAACGTCGGGCCGACGACCGATATGGGCTGGACGAGCCGCCGGGCCGACCGGTGGCACTGGGGGCGGGGGAGCCAGTCGGCCAGGGCAAGGAGACATGGGGAGGGATGAGGTCAGGTCAAGAGAAATAACGGATCCCGATAAAGTGCGTTTGGGAGTAATCGGAATATGATAAGATGGTTATGTAAAAATTGACCGCACCCAATTGGAACACTGGGTAGTTGATTGGTTACATATCTACCCATTAAAACGTGACCACTGACCACTGACGAGCCTTCCTAAGTGAACCATGGATTGGGTATGTGGCCGATTCCCGACACAATGGCACAAAATAGGCTGCACCCAGCACACTGTGACCAAGCTCACCACTCCACAGACCTAAACCAGGCCCACCCGGAGCCGCATGGTAAAAACCCCATAGCAAACACACAAGCAGACAGACATGCAGACGCTGAGGGAGGGCGCGGACCGGTATGCAGTTGTTGA